TCATATGGAAATCTCACACGTTTCTATGTCGATGTACCCACCCGCGCCCAATCCCCCGCCACTTATAATCCGAGTCAGATACGGTCAGATCTGACACCTGCGGCCCCCGTGTGGTGGCTTCGTATGCCTTGCGTCTTCCGTTTCCGGTCTGCCGACGACGCGGTGACACCCCGGCGCATCCGGCATTGCTGCGCCCGCGCGCGCCCGCCGCGCCGCCCCGCGCACGACGACGACGGTCGGGGGATTTCTCTTTCCATCGACAACGAGAATGAGCAAGAAGGGCCTTTTGGGGCGGGGGAGGCAGGAAGGGAAGTCGTAAAACACGGAATAATAACAATTCCGTTGCAGCAAGGGGCGTATGCCGCCGCCGTCGGCACCGTCACCCCGCTCCCATACACCTGCCGCGACCGGCTTGTCTCTTACCTCACCGTCGGGTTCGTCACAGAGGCGACGCCCCTCTCTCTGAGGCGGGGCGGCGGGTGGGTGACGCACCAGCTCGACTACTTGCAGCAGGTCGTGACGAAATAACACAATAACAACACACACACACACACACACACACAGCTACGGCCACAAAGTAGCAAGTGCCGTACTGCACGCGGTCCCCCACTCCGACCACTGTGCGGCTTTAGCCCTCCCTAACGAGGGGAGGGGGGGAGGGCAGGGGTGGTGGCGTGACACTGGTGGACAACGCGAGCGTACTTACCGCTGATCCGAGCTATGAGGCTATGAGGAAGTTGCCCGGTAAGAGGAACAAGAACAAGAAGAAGGTAGCACTGAGGAGGTGGCGTGGCGTAGCGCCGTCGCCGTCCCTAAACAAAACAGAAAATGAGCGACAGTCTCAGCAGAGGTTAGGATGCGTGTCGTTAGATTTCATACAGTTTAGAACGGGCCTATGCATCTAGCACCTTGGTACCACCCATACCAATGTTTATTCCGACAGTTGACTCATTATCATTCAGTTAAAATAGTACCAATGCAATATGTCCGATCACTAACCTAAACAACGACACCGGGGTGGTTTAGAGGATTGGATATAAACTTACTTTTCGAAGCCAAACTTTGCAAAAGCACCTTTCGACACAAGATTGTTACGCCGGTCTAGTATGGACCCAATTTTTCTTCACAAATTCTACAAAACTCTATTTATGATCACACATCCACTTGCAACAAAACACAGTATGGTATGATCGCCGGCGTTCTGCTTGTGCTTTTTTGTAGGGACGGCCGGACGGCGCTACGCCACGCCACCTCCTCAGAGTGCTGCCTTCTTTTTGTTGCTCTTATCAGGCAACTTCCTCATACTTACAGCGATCAGGTGGTGACCGCCTCGCCTCTTTACCGATTTGCGTGGCCCCCAGACACTCGGAACAAAACACCGTCGTCGTGTCGTGCTTATAGGCGCGGCACGTCTTCTTTCGCATCGCGAACCTTGCGGCGGCGGGTGTCACCCCTGTCCTCGTCGGCGGGGCGGGGCGGGGCGGGCGGGGCGGGCCGCGTCGCGAGTTGCGTAAGAAATGAGGTCAACAGTCCCCCCTCCCCTACCGAGGCGGCGCTCTCCGCACAGCGGCGACAGCGGTCGAGTACGTGTGTGAGTGTGTGTACGTGTGAGTGTGTGCGTGTGTGTGTGTACGTGTGTGAGCGCTTACGCTGTGCCTTAAAGAAATAGAGCCATTGCGGAACGGAGGAGTGGCCCCGCGCGGTCCTTCCTCCTAGAGAAAGACCTTCCGCGGGGCTTTCCCGGCAGCAGTATGACTCACCCCCCCCCCTTTCTGCCTGTTGCAGTGAGCCAGTGGGTCCCGACCTGGAGCTCGCCCTGGAGCCCCCTGACGCCGGACGCCGAGTTTACGCCCGCGGCCTCCACGGGCTCCGCAGCGGCGTCGGGCCCCGGGCCACCTGACCAGCTGGACCTGGACCTGCTGCAGCGCGACCTGCAGCGGGACCTGCAGCGCGACCTCCAGGACGGCGCCGTCGTGTCCAGCCGGCGGGGGTCGCGGCGGACGGGTGCCTCGCGCCGCAGCCGCCTGCAGGCCGCGGGCGTCGCGGTGGGCGGCGGCGGCCCCGGCGGCCGGGCGCTCGCCGTCGGCCGCGACTACATGCCGGACGACTCGCTGTGGTCGCCGGGCGCCGCGTCCGCCGCCGAACCCCCGCCGCCGCCACCGCCGTCGCCCGCCCGCGGCGAGGGGCGCAGCATCGGCGGCGGCGTGGCGCAACAGAGCGTCCAGGACGCCGTCGGCCAGGGGCGCATCATGGGTGGAGGCGCGGCGCACCAGAGCCTCCAGGACGCCGTCGGCCAGGAGCACACCATTGATGGTGGCGTGACGCACCAGAGCATCGAGAACGCCGCCGGCCAGGGGCGCATCATCGTCGGCGGCGGCGTGACCCACCAGAGCCTCGAGGACGCCACCGGCGCAGCGGCCGCCCCCGAGGTAGTGGTCGTCGTGCACGAGAAGGACACGCTGCCAGACAAGTCGCACAAGCCGCGGCCGCAGCGGCAGGCCGCGCTGCAGTCCTGGTGGGACGCGGTGGCGGGCGCGGCGGGCGGCGGCGGCGGAGGGGACGCCTTCCCGCAGTCGCGCAGCCCCGAGGGTCTGCCGCGCGCCGAGGCCGGGCGCGACCTGTTCGGCCCCGACCGGCGCCAGACCCTGGCCACCATCTCGGAGACCCTGGGCGCCATCAACACCGTGGGCCGCTACCTCGTCAACTACACCCGGGGCAACAGCAGCGGCGGCGGCGGTGGCGGTGGCGGCGGCGGCGGCCTCGGGGGCGGCGGTGGCCTCGGGCTGGCCACCACCCTGCTGGGCACCCCGACGGTGCTATCGGACGGCACGGAGAACACGGACCAGTGAGTGTTTTTGTATCTATGTTGTATGAGCTAATTTACCGGGTGGCTGTCTACTTTTGGGCCAGACTCTACCTCCTGGAGGAAAAGGTGGGTGGGTTAGCCTGAGGCAACCCGCGGACACGCATCCATGCGGTACAGTCTGCGCACGAAAGCCAGCGCGGGCGTTTACCGCCGACCCAGTAACCGAGTGAGTTCCGCGTGTTTGACGCGTGTCACCCCTTCCTCCGCAGACGGCGCCCCGGTCGCTCCGAGGACCTCCCCACGGCCATCTACACCATCAGCAAGAACGTGCTGGGCCGGAACGTGACGGACCAGTTCGCGCCGCTGGTGCGCGTGGTGGGCGCGCCGCTGGTCACCATGACGACGGGCAAGGTGGTGACGGCGGACCGGCCGCCGCCGACCATCCTCCGGCCCGTGTCCGCGTCCACGCAGCTGGCGCCCGTCACGTCGGCGCCCGCGCCGGCCGCGCCCGCCGCCCCGGCCGCGGAGGACGGACGCGAGCCCCCCGGCGGCGTGCGCCCTTGCACCACCCCGGACGGCGGCACGGGCGTCTGCGACGACCTCAGCACCTGCCCGCAGCTGCTGCTCGACCTCGCCAACCTGCGCCAGTCCATCTGCTTCAAGAGCCTCTTCGTGCCCGGCGTATGCTGCCCCGCCGGCCGCCCGCAGGAGTGAGTACAGTATCCTGGCCAGGGATTTAAATTTGAGTTTTTTTTGGTCAATAATTGATTTGAAAGATTCATTTTTGCCAATTTCCATTTAAATAATTCAAAAGTTTCAGATAATTTTATGAGGAAGTTGCCCGATAAGAGGAACAAGAAGAAGGTAGCACTGAGGAGGTGGCGTGGCGTAGCGCCGTCCCTAAACAAAGCAGAAGATGAGCGACAGTCTAGCAGAGGTTAGGATGCGTGTCGTTAGATTTCAAACAGTTTAGAACAGGCCTATGCATCTAGCTCCTTGGTACCACCTATACCAAAATTTATTACGACAGTTGAGTCATTATCATTGAGTTAAAATGTTACCAATGCAATATGTGCGTACATGTGCGTACACTAACCTAAACAACGACACCGGGACGGTTTACAAGATTGTATAAACTTACTTTTCCGAAGCCAAACTTTGCAGAAGCACTTTTTGACACAAGATTTTTACGCCGGTCAAGCAGGACCCAATTTTTCTTTACAAATTCTACAAAACTCGATTTATGATCACACCTCCACTTGCGACAAAACACAGTACTATATGGTCGCCGGCGTTCTGCTTGTTTAGGGACGGCACTACGCCACGCCACCTCCTCAGATCTACCTTCTTCTTGTTCCTCTTATCGGGCAACTTCCTCA